TTTTGATGATGTTAATTCTTCCAATCCATGAACAAGGTATATGTTTCCATTTTTGTGTCTTCCCTGATTTCTTTCTTCGGTGCTGTGTAGTTTTCTGCATACAGGTCTTTTACCTCCTTGGTTAGGTTTATTCCCAGATATTTTATTTTTCTCACCTATTATTTTTAAGAAGGTACTCCCATGAGATGACTCTCTCGACTTTCCACGGTGCTGCATGCCTCGGCCAAGTCAGAGAGCCAAGATGGCCCCGCCAGGGAAACCTGTTTGGCTTTGGGAGTGGCTCATGCATTCTCTTCTCTCACAGTATACAGACCTTAGTTGGTGACATAGAAACAGAAGCTGTATTTCCCCAAAGAAAAATAGGATATTGCATATTGAAATGCACCTTCACATTTTAGAATATGATAGAGCTTGACAGTACCGGGTCCGGGAAGTGTTATTAAGTAACACTGCTAACACATCTGACGCAGACTCACTGGGGAGACAAACGAGCCCTCAGACACTCCTGCCACTGCCCGAAAAGTTAACGCCGACGTGGCCTACGGCACAGCTCCCTGAGCACTTGATTTTAAATCTCTCTAAGCATTTATGCACATGTACGTAAGTGCACAGAAAAATGTCCGATTCTTAGGGGTTACCTCTGGAAAGAAGAATGGATTGGCCAGAACTTGTCAGTACAGGTCACTTTGTATGTCTGTACTGAGCGTTTTATGAGAATCCATTCATGCAGTTCTTGTTTGATTTTTAAAAACTTAAAGCAAATGAAAAAGTTTATAAGAATTTACTTTTGGTTAACACATTGATCATATATAGAAAAAAGGCTGGCCTAGTAGTTGGTGACCTGCTAACCCAATCTCTGTCATTTAACTTAGGTTTTCCGTTTACTTATATATACAACGAGTGGTTGGATTAGATTATCATTTTGATTCTATGATCCTTCTGGAGCCAATCTGAATGAGAGGAAGTCCAAATTAAATTGTAGTTCTTAAAGAAGCATCATTTTCTAACATTACAGCATGTTAAAAGTCATCCTGGCCATTTCGGTCAAGGCTGCAGAAGCCTCCCTTTTAAATGGGAAGAACCAGAGGGAGCCGTGGGAGCAGTGTGCTGGGGACTGATGGCCAATGACTTTGGAGCCCCAGGCCTTGCAATGCACCACGTCCAGCATGTTTGGAGCTAACACAGTACGATGTGTGTGGGTTTTTTAAAAAAATCATTTGACCAAAGTTGCTGAAATGAAGTCTGTACTTTTGTTTCATTTCTTAGCTTTACAAAGAAATGTTAAATTCTGCATTCTCAAATGTACAGTGCAGCTCTGGTGGGATAACTTTTTTAATGGTTAGTGTTTTTATTTATTTAACAAAAATTTTTAAACATTTAAAAATTGTATTCTTTTCATTATGGGGCGAGATAACTTTCTGCTCTCTTTTCCAGTGTGGGCTGAGGTGGGAAGGGCCTGTGCGAGGCCTACCAGGTCCCAAAGCACAACAGAAAGACAATGGAAGGCAATTCAATGTCCAAATGCAACAAATGACAACTATAGAAATGTGTTAGAGACCTTCGTAATTCTCATTTCAGGGAATCGGCCTCATTTACTAGACTTGGCCATGAGAAGAAGTGTGAAATCTTGCTGGAGTACCTGGGTTTACACACGTTCTGATCCTGTTAGCGTCCTGTTCAGGAGAGGGAGGTCTAACTTCCTGTCAGGACCGGACGGGTTTCTGGCCTTGGAGCTTAGGGAGGGGCTGAGGGGGTGAGGGCCCGGGGCCAGGAAGACAGTCCAGGAGGAGGACATCTGGGAGTCTTAGGGATGGAGCTGAGGTGTGATTCCTGCAGGGGTTGGTTCGGAAGGCTGAGGAACCAGGTAAGGAGGGCAAGTGCAGAGCCTCAGCAAACTGTTCAATGAAACAAGAGGCTGACGTTGTTTCAGTCCCAACCCAGGGCAAACTCAAACTGTCTACAAACAGGAGCACGACTCAGGGGAGAGACTGCCTGTATTCTCTGCCTGCAGCCTCCATCACTCCCATACCCTGGCCAGAAACGACGCTTTCAAGGGCCTTGGGATTAGTCTGCCTCCTGACTTTCAGGTTCCAGCTGAGCAGGGACAATATGTGAAAGGGAATGAATGTGCAGGGCAGCCAAGGTGATGCCTTGCTCGCGGAGCAGACAACTCGCTTCTACTGCGCACAAAGTACCCGATGGATGCTGTTATAAGGGAAACTCCAAATCTCCCTGTCAAGTTCTGTTCTTCTAGGACAGTCCAACACTTCCCCCCCAAATATTGCTTATATTTCCTAACATGCTAGCAAACTGTTTGAGAGCATGGAAATAAACTTTATCTTTTTCCTTTCTGTATAATTCTGTTTCTCCTGTATTTCGGTCAAACAGGCCTGATGGATTTTTCTCACATACATATTTCTAATACGGCCCTTTCTTCATATCACAGCTTTTGCCCTTGCTTGGAATTATGGTATCGTCATACAAATTCCCGGACTTATTATTTCAGGGGCAAATGTGGAATTAAATGAGATTTTTAACATTGATTTAAAGCAAATTTACTATGCATCCATGTTTGATCGGGAGTTACAATGAAGCGGGTACTTACGCAAACAGCAAGATGAGTGCCTAGATTTTAGTAAATATAACAGTAAAAAAATCAATTAAAAGATAAGTAGATGAGAATTTAATCTCTTCAATTTAAAATCTCTTAGCTTGAATCTCTCAATAGAAGGGCTTCATAAAAAAACAAATCATAAACACTTTTAATAATTAAATATGAATATGTGATCTATGATAAAATTTAACCCTTAGGCCATATATGCTTAACTATACACAATTACACTTGTACTGGTTCCCTCTTTTTATCAGCTCCATCTTCCAGTGCAATGTGTGTGTGTGTGTGTGTGTGTGTGTGTAGCCGTCTTGTTCCTATACCCCTACCATGGACCATATCAAAAAATGCTTCCTTCACCCTGGCTGGTGTGGTCCAGTGGATTGAGCACCGGCCTGTGACCCAAAAAATGCTTCTTTCCACAGACTGTGAAGAATTCATTGATAAGCCACAGGGAACTTAGACTATAACATTTCCTTCCCAATTAATAAGGCTGTTGCCTTGATTTATGAGGATTGAATTATTCATCAGAATCTTTCTACGCCATCTCGCAGCAAGCTAAGACAGGGATGTTAGAGTGCCAACTGCATTAGGATGAAGACAAGAAAATAATTTTACTTAAAAACCAAGTAATCACCTCAATTTAATCCCTGTACGTTCCACACAAAATAATGGCAGTTCACTCTTAAGGCCCCTTGCTTCTGCGCATGGGGAGTGTTCACGGACACCCCTGAATGCCCAAACTGCACTGCAATCTGCTCTGGGAGTCAGCAGATGTGGGTCTCAGTTCTGCTTCTGTCACAAACCAGGGCTGTGACCTCGGACAAGACCCTTTACCCCTCTGGGGCTCTTTCCACAACCTCTAAAATGGGGGCTTGGATTCGTGGAGGGTTAAGATTTCTTTTGGTTATAAAATTTCACCAGAGCTCTATTATGTTTGTTTAGAAGAAGCAAAGAACGCCGCTGGCCTATTTTAATGCATCCTAGAAAGAGAAACGAGGAAAAAAATACATAATTTGAAATATTCAGGTAAATAAATAGTGTGTAGTCCTCCCCCACCCCAAAGTGTTCGGTTCTCTTCCTGTCAGGTCTGGCGTGTGAGGCTTTGGTCATTGAAACAGCTGGAACGTGTGACACAAACAGTGACCTGCTGGAGGGGGAAGTGGCTACAACGAGACAGAGGGGCCCGTGTGTATGCTGAACACAGCGGTTGGCGTCTGGCACATGCAAGGATTTTTAATCACCACCCACTTGAGATGTTTTTAAATTAATTAGCCATTTAGGTAATAGCTTTAAAGTGTTATTCTTTACTTTGTGTTAGAACTAGAATTAACCATAATTAAAGTGGTCTATATCAGAAGTCTTATTACAGCAGTTTTTTTATACAGCAATGTTCTCAATCACAGGAGTTCTGACTGAAACCAAACGATTTAGTTAAACACTTAATGATGCTTCCCTCTGCGGTCTATCTTCTCAATAGAAGGGCTGGTGGTTATTTTGGCATCTGAATCGTGAACCGCTGACATCCTCAGTGGCTGACTTTCGATCATCTTTAAGAATTCTGTGTTCTTTTTATTTTATTTTTATTTAAGAAGAATGACAGAGTTAACTGGAAATAAGCCTAGTTTTCATGGGTATTCTTCTATTTTTTAACAATTTCCTTGGTTCCTTTGGTTCTTGTTGCTAAATCAGCAGAGTGCGGTTATAAAAGGGACATGATTTAAAGGTGACTTGCAGACATTAAAGTTTAGGGTTTTCTTACTTTCTGAGTTGCACAATTTAGGGTCTTAGAAGGCTCAGCAGTAATAGAATCTTCCTGCATAACTGAGGTGGGTTAATGCATAGTGCTGAATTTATCAAGGGGGCAAGGAGGGACAACTGGAACTATGTGTGAGTGGGTGCGATGATTTATGCACACAGGCAGAGATGACCAGCTTTCCTTAACCATACTTCACCATCTTGGGTGGCCGAAGGAGCTGCCTTGTACTCTGCCCCAAAATACAAATTATATATATATAATATGTATTTGGCTGACCAGGAAGACACAATTTCAAGTGAGGAAAAAAGGAGAGAGGGTTGAATGAAGCTAGGAATAATAAAGGCAAAGTATTATTTTTGACTTTGGGAGGAAATGTTTGGTTTTTCTGTGTGAGGGGAATTAGGTAAATGTGAATAGTGGTAATAATCATAACCCTGCAAGAGAATATTTTATGTCGCAATGAAATACATGCCTGAGAGCCATTCAATAAGTCATTGTTATTTTTTACAAAGTTATCATCCATAGAAAGAAAACCAGTACTGACAAAATACTGCCCTCTCCAATGCACTGACCCCATATGAAACTGGATGTTTTACAACCTGAATTAAAATACAAGAATGTAATCAGAAATCACTGAACAGAAGTTTTAATGTTGTTAAGTTCTTATTTTCAAACAAGGCTCATTTAATAAAATGTAACCCCTGTAAGTATTAGCTGATGCCAGACTTATCATATATATATACACACACATATATATATGCTGAAGACACAGAGTGTTCCATGTGATTTGTCATATTTCTTTTAACAAAGTGCTAAATCAGAAGGAAATTACGCTTTGCATACAATTTTAATGAATCTACATCAAACATTTAGTCACCTTTAATATAACTTTTAAAAGCCTAATAGATGAAACTGTATTTCACAGAAACGAGGGTAAGTTAACACCGAGACACAGTGTGTTCTGAAGACACTGGAAAGCGCGTGACCACCACCGTAAAGGTGGCCACCGGTCTTTGACCTAATTAAAAATAAGGAGTCATGTAAGAAATGGCTTTATTAGGAAAAAAATGTAGTGTACACGTGGCTAATTTTTATCATTGATAAACCTCTTGGCTGTTTCAGAGTTAAAAATCACATATGAGGTTTAAACTTCTTTAGAAGTTGTTGGCATGTCTTCCTATTCTGATATGTGACTTGGGGAGGGTTATCTCCCTGGGGCAGACACTCCGTGTCTTTTCATAATTACAACCCGTCGGTCAGTAGTTTAGCACTGGCACAGAACACAGAGGCAATTATTCAGGTAGTACCTCGTGTGTGAGACATCGATCACACTTCCAAACCCAGAATCACGCACAGGTGTGCGATTTCTAGAGTTTTTAAGTCTCCTTTTTATCACTCAAGTCCCACATTATTATTACTTAGTAGTAATTAAATCAACGTGACCATCTGTAACCCAACAAAACCTCTGAATGAAGTTTCTCTCTTCTCCTTTTTATCCTGTTAGGTGTGCAATTCCAAGCAAATGTGCAGAATGCAGTATTGATTTCCAGTCTCTTTATAAACTCCTTCAGATCTGCGCTATTAAACGGAGACAACCACATCAAGATAGAGTCTGTCATAGGATTCCCTGAAGCACAGAATGAGGAGGAGACTGAGCAAACACGACCCAGGAAGGCACCAGTTGAACCAAGACAACTCTGTAAGACAAAAACGTGAAGACGTAAGCGTTGGGCGGTGTGCCGGCAGCAACCCGCTCTGCGTTCAAAGGCACTTGGGATCAATGCGCCTTAGCAGGCTCCACCACTGGCCTTCGATAAACAGTGATGATCTGGCATCCAAGTGATGCATGTCGCGTATTACAGAGCTCTCATGTGGAGTGTTTTTAATCAATGTTGTTAATAACTTTTCATCAATTTAATCCACCATGACTTGGATGGCAAAAAAAATCTATTAACTACAAAGAAAAAAAACCAATCACCTTTAACTGTTAGTTCGCTAATTATTTTTTCAGTGCCCTCTAATCACCCTCACTCTTGTCCTTGTTTAGAAATATCTGCTGAATCAGAAAGACAAATAAAATCACCTGAACTTTGAGATAACATTTTAACATATTTTTTGGATAGAAACATCAAATTCTCAGCAAAAAAATCAAGTCATAATTCATTGTAAAACAGATGAAAAATATATTAAAAAATAAAGTAAAACTTAAAAAAAATACTAATTCTACCCTCAGAGAAACTACTGTGACTGTTTCAGCTTATTTTTTTCTAGTCTTTTATTTTTTTTCCTGCAAGCATAATTGTTATGTGTGATGCCAATTACCAGAAAACCTACAAGAATCATCAGAACAGACGATTCTGTTGTGACCTGATTTAAGGGCATCAAGAACATGCTTCTTCATAAAGCCTTGCTCATGACTTCTGGACCCTGCAACAGCCCATGCCTGGGTCTCTTGCTAGGGCTCCAGGCCAGCTGTTTAGAGGCTGCCTCCGCCTATTTTTCCTCCAGCTCCAGCAGCCCTTGAGCTCTACATCTGTTCGGCTTTCCTCCACCCCGACCCCTTTTCCAGCCAATCCCAAGACTCTGCGTGCAGAAGTGAGCAGCTTCTTGGGATTGGGGGCAGGGCAGGGGGTAACTTCTATAGTTTAATATTCATTCAGCAGTTTTGATTTTATAAAACAACAAATGAGATAAAGAAGTTCCCTGGTACGTTTTTCTTTGGGCCCTGCTATCGGTTTATATTTTCCTTTGTACTTCTAAAGAATGCTAATATTGCTCTAATCTTCAAAATCATCCTGAAGATTTCCACACTGCTGCTTCAGTGTAATCCATAATTCATATGAGTGACTAAAAGAGCAATTTATGCTCAAGAATGGAAATTCAACAATAAACCGGTAAGAAATGGTGCTGAAATACCTTTTTTTGCTGTAATATGCTCACAAAACATGCCTCCCCACCTCTCAATTTCTACATTTTAAAAGTTAGACATGCTATTATATAGCATGTAACAAAGACATGTATTTCAATGATAGTTTTATGCAAAGCTGTTTTCTGTGCTTTTCTTGGATTGAATATAATCTAATACTCAGAAAGACTGAGACCTCTGGGATCTTGTCTTTATTCTGATATTCCCTGAAACGACACACAGGTGTTCTCTGTTTTTATGTTAGCCACGCAGTGTCTGGAGTTCCGATGCCAGTTTTACTAGGCAAAAAAGCAGCAGTAAAAATAAGGAAGAGAAAGAGCAGCAAAACACTGACAACAGCACACCGCTTGTGGTGAGCATTTGGACTTTAACGTCAAATTTGCCGCTGCATTTTATGGGGAGCTAGAACAAACACATGATGTGTTCTTGCTCCTCTTAAATCTCATCATTTTTTTTTGCCAAAGCAAAATTTGTCAATACTAAGCACAACTTAGTCAAATACTTCCAAAGCAGGCCTTATTTTATCAGAGTTGTAAAAGTATTCCTTCTACCTGGGTTCAAACGGATCCTTAAATATGCCGCATAATGGCCTCATAGGGTCACGGTGGGTTGGCTCGTTTTTAGTTACGCCTCTCTCTGTAAAGTCAAGTCCACCTTTCAGGAAGTGGGCCTGACTCAGCCAACTGTTAAGTGTTCTCTGAAATTCTTTGCCTTTTAAGAAAGCAAAAGGTCCGAGCTGGGAACAGGCACACTTCCCACTGATAACCACTCACAAAAACCGTAAGTTAGGTACTCTGACAAACCGGAAATGGTTCAAAAGCCTCACTGGGCTTAGCAACAGCCAAGCCAACTGCTGTCCTTTCCTGGCCAGTGTCATATGACGTAATTGAGCCAACATAGTTCTTATCCAATGAAATTTTATTCTTATCCTTGAAATCTTTTAATGTGAGCATATTTTCTAACATCCCTTCCCTTTGTCCTTAACTGGAGAAAATATAAATCCATACTGTAAGGCTCCACAATTTGCCTCTATATTTCTAGTATTTATTATCCACACTCTAACCTGAGCACTCCCTTTGCCGATGTATATAGTTCAGACAGGTGCTGTTCCCCTCAGTGAAGAGAACTGCGCCGAGTGGTGATGCTCGGTTGGAGCCAAACTAATTAGGATTCTGCTCGTCCTCTTGGGAAGCAGTTTCCTCCAGAAGCAGTGTGGTACTTCCCACTTCCTCCTTCCCTTCAGCAAGCGACACCAGGCGCTTGTCTGGTTGCATGTACCGTCACCCAGAGCCAACCTTCTATTTTTGTGTGGTGGTTCAACCGGAATCACAATGATGTAGCAAAACTGTCTCCTTTCTCATTTAAGAGGAGCCAGCTGACACCGTGATTTCACACACAATGTAACAGAATTACCCAACAGACCAGACCATCGACCATCGAACACACTGCAGTGTTTTACTCCTTACATATAAAAATACTTCTCACCAGCGCACAATCTGCTGAACCTGCTCTAGCAACCAGTAGTCAACCCCTCCCACCTCAGCCAGGCGCCTGAATCTTTTGAGCCACAGTGCAGCCTCACAGGCACGGTCAGCTACTTTGAAATGAAAGAACTGAGGTAAAAAACAAAACAAACAAAAAAACCCAACCTCTACTGCTTTTAGTCAAAACCTGTTGCAAAGCTTCTAGAACAGCAACCAAAAACCCAGATAACACAGATTTCAGAATCAGTTACACACTACAAAACAGAACACTGAGACACGTTTCAGGGCATCTGAAGAATACGAAACGCTCCCACACTGACTCTGAGTGAGGTGGTCAGAGGGAGGCATCGCGGCGCCATCTGAGATAATTGGCCGAGACTCTCAAATCAAGTATTACAGGAAGCAACTGAGTTTTACGTGCATGTTTATATTAGGAAACAAGTAACAATTTTTTTAAAAAGTGACCATAAAAAAGCCAAGCCAGAAAAACTCTTAAGAAAATTCCGACACTGCCCCAGTCACCCAAAGCAGAATCAAAACAGGACGTGGGAGACTAGTGACCATGGGCTCCAAATAAGCTGGTGGCACTGGCATAGGAGCCGGTGTGACATCTGCTGTCAGTGACGGTGATGGGCACAATCTGCAAGCAAATCACCAGTGGAGCCTTTCTTGCTAAGCAAACCAATCTAACGTGGTCATTTTGGGGTTCGTCTGCACAGCCCTGAAAAGCTGCTTCGGATGTAATTGCCTCCCAGAAAGCACATTGTGGGGAGATAAAGCTCCAGTTAGGAAGTGTAGTGCTTCTCCGAGGAGAGACTTAAAAAACCCACAGATCTTTGTGATGATTAAATAGCTGGCCTTCTAGTCATGTAACTAATAGTTGAACTATAACATGTAACTTAACTTCTAGGTAAATTTTTCAAGTTTTAAAAATGCCTAAATTATGACACTTGAACAGTGGCTTTAATGGAAGGAAATTCAATTTATCATAGAATTTATTGAGCCCTGGCTGGGTGGCTCAGTTGGTTGGAGTGCCATCCTGTACAGAAGAAGTTGTGGGTTTGATCACTGGTCAGGGCACACAGCTGGGTTGTGGGTTCCACCCCTGACCAGGGCGTGTGCAGGGGGCAACCCGATCAGTGCTTCTCTCTCACACCGATGTTTCTCCACTTTTCCCTTCCTCTCTAAAATCAATAAAAACTTATCCTTGGGTGTGAATTACAAAAGAATGTTGAGGGTAAAAGATATTTTTAGGAAATAATTTTACATAATGCTCAGAGTTGCAATTTTTGTGTCCCCATACCTCAGCTGTAAGGTGTGGGGACTTGGTCACACAACACCCTAACACGACAGGACTTCCAGGACAGCATCAGCTGTTCTGCATGAAAGCGCCTCTGCACGGTTTTCACAGGTCTAGCAGCCATAGCCTTTGAGAGGTGTGGGGTGTGTCTGTGTGTGTTCAGTGGACACACTCACAAACATACACACAATAGCATCTCTTTCAAACTGAAGCATAGATACTTAAATTCCCAACTCCAACAATTCCCAATTGTTACTTACCTAGAAGGAAATAAAACAAGCATTTGGGGAGTGCCAGTTATGCCCTGGTCTAGACTCTTGCACAGAGGTCTTCTCATTAACTTTATAAGATGTAAAAATGTGCTCAGATTTTTCTTCCTGAAAATCACCTTGTTGGAGTAAAAGTGTTTATTATTTATAGGAGACCATTCTGCGTGGCGTGGGCCCTGCTCCCACTGGGAGATGCACAGGACCCATGCCACGGATAGGTTCTCCCATGGGGAATCAGGCCCTGTGCCTAGACTGCTACGAGACTTGCTTTTGCTAAAACTCCCTCATCCTGAATTGAGGCAGAAAACATTTACTGCTAAGTGACTTCCTAAAATCCATGCTAAACCTTCCAAGGACCAGTATAACTGGTTCACCACTTTTGCCTTTTCATTTGTAAATATCCCTCTTCTGTGATGTGATTAGTAGCATCCTCTCCTTTGTTTTCTGTAAAAGGTAACAACCTAAAGGGAACCTGTGCATAGTTAATGAGGACCTTCATGTAATGTGCCCAGAAAGACAATAAAAGCCCATCGAAGCAAGGTCCGAGGCTTTTGGCTCCTCTTGAGAGCAAAACCGCCCACCCTTTTTCTCCACAGGATTCGGTAGTCCATGTGAATTTCTTCTGTCTCAGCTACAACGCCGTGGACCCCACAAGCTGGGGTCTGCAACAGTTATTTTAAAAGTTCCCATAATGATGGAGTTCAGGCAGAAACCTTTAACATTTACACAGACATGTGTAAGAACATGTGATCAGACACCAGCCAAAAAGAGGAAAGCTTATTTTCCCTTGCTAGATAAATCTTTGATTACATCAGTGAGACAGGAAGTAGAAGAAATGTTGCTAAATCTGCTGCCTGGGTCAAAGAAACAAAAGTATCTGCCTATATCTGGTCACTATGAATCTGCAGAATGAGCGCCCATTGCCTAATGTCAATATCAGTGAATTCACGTTCAACAGATTGACAGCTGCAGCTGGATCTAGGGGAGTGACAGAGACACTCTCCTGGCCAAACACAATGGCCAGGAGTGCACTGGGCTCCACCACAGTCAGTGTAGGGATATTCCCTGCCTTAAACTGGTCAATAAATACACGTTACAGTCTAGAGACCACATGCAAGAGGTGTATGGGGGAGTAACAGTATCTGGCATCTACTGTTGTTTTTATTTGGAGGACACACCTCTACTTCCAGCAGACAGGAAAAACCACGCTCTAGTAGGCTGCAAGGGTCGCCGACCACACCTGTGCCCATGAGCTGAAAAGCTGCCCTGAACGGGCAACACAGCCATCTCTGGTACTTCACCAGGCAAAAGAGAGGCACTGAGCCTCTTTTAATTGCAACTGTGACATGAGTGAAGTAGATTAAAGGGGCTATATCATAGTTATTAGAAGATTCTGTTTAGAAAACTCACTGGGAGCAAATACCTTAGCCCAACGCCGGGGATGGCACGCTCCCTAATGGAAACATGTTCCAGGAGGACAGTCGAGAGTGGTCTGATGCCATTAACGGCAACTCCTTTACACGATCAAACATACATCAAGTTTGACCAAGTTAAAAGCTACTTCACACGCATTACTCATTGACAGAAATAATCTAGTTTGCTGTTAACTAGAACAAGAAATTAATATATCATTTGTATGCCTTTTGCTGTTAGATGAAAGTACTGTGCCAAAAGCTGTCTGAATCCCAGGGCAAATTCTGTTTCGTCAGCTTTGAAAGTTTCAAAAATGTATTTTCCTAAGGAGGTAAATGTGGTTACTATTTAAACTATAAGCCTGTCAGAAAGTCTTCCATCAACAAGTAGTCCTCTTGGGAGCATCACTTTTTAGACCACTTATTACTACATTTGAATCTTACAGATTCCTTTATGCACAGATTAACCAAATGGACTGATATTTATTTGATGGGTAGTTAGGAGAACAGCAATGGGTAGGAGGAGGGAAGGTAATAATATTAGATTAGTTAAAATGAGAAATAAGCCCTGGCTGGTATAGCTCAGTGGATTGAGCATGGGCCTGTGAAGCAAAGGGTCGCTGGTTCGGTTCCTTGTCAGGGCCTGGGTTGCAGGCCTGGTTCCTAGTAGGGGACACATGAAAGGCAACCACACATTGATGTTTCTCTCCCACTTTCTCCTTCCCTTCCCCCTCTCTAAAAATAAATAAATAAAATATTTTTTTAAAAGAAATAAAATGAAATATAAACCTTGCAGAAATTGATAAAAACTTTATATTCAAGAATCACAAGTAAAAAATTCTTATTTTAAGATGCAAAATAAGCCTTGGCTGGTGTAGCTCAGTGGATTGAGCACGGGCTGCGAACCAGGGGGTTGCCAGTTCGATTCCCAGTCAGGGCACATGCCTGGGTTGTGGGCTGGATCCCCGGTGGGGGCCACCTAGGAGGCAACCACACATTGCTGTTTCTCTCCCCCTCTTTCTCCCTCCCTTCTCCTCTCTTTAAAAATAAATAAATAAAACCTTTTAAAAAATAAAAATATGCTCCAAAAATCCTAGATAATTATGTCAAAATTTTCTGAAATAGTAAAACAGAATTTGGATTACGGAAGACAGAATATCAGAGAACACCAAACAACTGTTCAAAAGGAAGCCAGCACAAACCTACGGACCCCAACGGCAGCTCGGCCTGCCCTCAACAAGCCCGGCAACCTCTCCAGCTGTCCCTGCAGCGCCCCCTCCTGCCCCCTTGAAGGTCGTCCGAAAGTCTCATTCGCTCCTGGAGTCCCTTCTCAACTTTCTTCCCATCAATCAAGTCTTAATAGATCAAATGCCTTCTGAGCAGAAAGATGCTGCCACGAAGAAAGAACTCCTTCAACAACCTGCCCAACAAAGGTACTGCCTCCGGGCCCACCGACACTGCCCTCTCCTCCGGCTCCTTTTGTCCAGGGTGAACTTCTCCCTGGGTTCAGGACCCCATCCCTGCCTCCTTTGTTCCGGTTCTCCCATTTCTTCAAAGGTAGAGCCCTGGGGTTCTAACTTCAACCCTTTTTCTACTCTATACATGCCTTGATCATGTGTAGCTATTAAAACTTAATGAAATAAAAAATCTAGTTCCTTAGCTGCACTCACTTCATGTGGCTAGTGGCTACTGTATTGGACAGTACAGTCAAAACACGTTTGCATTATCAGAGAAAGTTCTGTTTGGGCAGAGCCGTTCTGCACACCCTGTGTATCCTTGGATGAGCTATCACTCTTCACTAAGGCTTTAAACCATGTACCCCCGATATTATCAGCAACTAACACCCTATGTTAAGACAGGAGAGTCTAAGTATATTTTTAAAGCAATAAGAACCTGCATATTAGAATCACCAATGGGGCTTTATATATAAATGGTGGGCTCTAGTCCAGGTTAATTAAATCAGAAATTCTATGAGGGGTAAGGCTGCATTAGATCAGATTAGGATGCATTTAAAAAAATAAATAGCTAGAGGTATTTTCTTTTATTGGTACGTAAAAGCCCAAATAAAGTCATATGCCCTGGTGAGAATTCTCCATATGAACTCCCTATACAGCAGTGCCACACACCTCTCTGCTGACACAGACAGTAATCAAAAAGTCAAGTTTCTTACCTGTGTGATAAAATGTGAGAAAAAATAAAAGTACTCCCATGAATATATTACTTAAAAAAGTGACAACTCCACAAGTAATTCCTTCTGGAACTGGGTAGACAGTTTCCACAAAAAGCTCAAAAAATATAGGTATACTGCTATTCAGGAACACTCCCAGGAGGATACAGGAGGCGTACAACGTCACTGGAAGAAAAACACACACATTTTAGTCTCCCGGCAGCAGCCGCGAGTCGTATCAGACGGACCTTCTGGGTCTCCTCTTCTGTGAAATTTGACTCTGCAATTTCATCTCTTGTCACTGGCAGTCAATAAAGTTTGACAAAAGCATCATACATCTGTCAGCTCTTCACTCAGGTGAGCAGACGGGGAAAGGTTTTGTTGCTGGATGATTACCAGTTTATTTGCTTTATCTTTTGATGGATTATTCCAAAGCACAGAAACAATCTTACCATGATAATATAATTTAAAGGACTCTTACTTCTTAGTCACACACTCCTGGCAAATAGAGAGATAGATAAAATATAGCAACTTAATTAGAAATCTAGACTCGTTCTATAATTTTAAAGAGAACTTAAAAATCTAAGAATAAACATAAGAAACATTATGTGTTACTGAAAATTATATATTTAAAGAGGCTGGTTAATATAGCCCCTTAAGTACAAAATAAAATTCAGTATGCAATTCCTAGAGAAATGCTTGAAATAGAATTAGTTTTCAATTGTTTTAAAATTTGTAACATTTTTGGACAGAAAACATTTTACCCAGAAATATATAATCAATCCCCAATTAACCAACGAAAAGCCTATTTACCCCATTCTGTAGTGGAATCTTTGAATAAGGACATTATTCTTTTTCTTAGATGAAAGTTTAGAGAAATACATCCCACTCCAAATAATTGTATCACTTGCTATTATCTGCATATAAACCTTCATAAACTTTAATTTGAAGGTGCAAATAGAACCAATGAGAAAAAAACTATATTCTATTTAGAAATCTAAAACATCTCCTATAGACTGGGAGTATATCATACCCACTAGTGATGAGGAGAATTTATTCTAAGCTCAAGGTTACCAGAAAAATATTTTTAATAAAAATATTTGTTAAGGATGGGGAGCACTGGAGGGGTGGGCTGGGATGGGAGTAAAAGACAGACAACTGTACTTGAACAATAATTAAATAAATACATTTAAAAAATATATTTAAATACATTTATACATTTAATAAATAAATACATTTAAAAATATTTGTTAAGGAAGAAATTTCTGTACGGGAACTACAGAAAGCGAGGGAGTTATGTAAAACCTGTTATGTATTATTCATAAAACATATCGAATTACCAGAATTTATCATAACTGCTTACAACAATTAATAGTCCATGACGTTGTTGAAGAGGTAAAACAATAACATCCACTGTTTTCTAATAGAATTTCTCCAATTCACCTCAACTCCCACTTCCTCTTCCAATTATACTGGTCTTCCTGGGTCATAAATATTTTGTGCATTCAATTAACATAAACAGCTGGTGATTACTTTGACTTTTTTTGCACGCATAGCACAGGAGAACGCAGAACAAAAGATGACAGCGCGGAACAAACACGCTGCTGGCTAAAGCGGTGACCACGTTATCCACACAGCTACATGGGAAGCATCGGATACTCACAATAAATACCATTTAAATCATGAAGTAACAGTCAAGAGAGTCTTAGAAACGACAAAACCTAACACTTCTCGCTCACTGTTTATTTGCTAGACACAGACCACGTAAATCAATCAACCCGTTCAGCTTAACAACATGACTCATTAGCAGCCCATTAGGAAACCTAGGGATGGAATATCACTAATGGATTTTGTAGAATACTCTATCTATAACACACTTTATAATAATTTATTGGTCAGTTAGTGGTAATCAGAGCAGAGATGGCTCCTGACCCAAACAGAGATGAGCCTAGGAATTTAAAAATGACAGAAAAATGCAAACCCTTAAGACCCCAAAAGTGTTACTTCTAAGTAAGAATTCACAAACCAGTGATAGACTTACTGTTTTTTTAAGGAAATATGTTTGGAAATAATCCTTTTTGACATTTATATTTCTGAAGGAAATATGCCCTCACATGTAATTTGTGATCAGGCAAATTTAAAATGTAATACCTAAAAAATAATCATAATCTGTATTTAATAGATTAAATGCATGTTGTAAAAGAAAGAACGGTAACATAATGATGAGGACATACTGTAAAGGGACTAGCTATTGGTTTAAAGTCTTGAAAACAGAGACTTGATTTTACTGATTTTTATCAGCCATGATAAAAAAAAAAGAGCAAGAGCAGGAGAGAGACTCGGGATGCCCCCGAGGTGAGCTCAGTGAGGCAGGGCCTCGTCTGAACCCCTCAGGGCCACGCCACGCCCATGGCCTCATTTTATCCTCTGCACAAATTTTTGGACTTTGGTTTCCTAGGTACCTAAATTCTGGGAAGGGAAGAGGAAATCTTTGTCATCGGAAAAATAAAATTTGTACTGTGATCAACTTTGTTGATGGAACTGTAAATAGTTCCTCTTCTGGTGGGTAATTGAAAATGCCTATCAAAATAAATAACACACAGTTTGACCCAGCAATTCCAGGTCTAGACATTCATCCTGCAGCTATTCAGGTACAAGTGTGTAAAGCAGACTCACTGAAATATTGTTTGTAGTATAAAATGTATTAAAACCAAGCTAAATGTCTATCAATAGGAGGTTGGTTGTTAAAAAACTTACTAAACAATGGTACATTATGCAGCCACTAAAGAGGAATGAACTCCAGCCCTGGCCAGGTGGCTCAGCTGGTTGGAGCATCGACCCAAACCCTGAAAGGTGTGGGTTTGATCCCTGGTCAGGGTGCATATGGCATGTGGGGGGCAAGCAATTGATATTTCTCTCTCACATTGATGTTTCTCTCTCTCAAACAAATAAACATATAAGAAAAAAATGAATTAACTCTGTAGGTACTGATATTAAGAACATCTGCCCTGGCTGGTGTAGCTCAGTGGACTGAGCGTGGACTGTGAACCAAAGGGTCACTGGTTCGATTCCCAGTCAGGGCACATGCCAGGGTTGCGGGGCCAGGCCCCCCAGTGGCAGGCATTCAAGAGGCAACTACACATTGCTGTTTCTCTCCCTCTCTTTCTCTAAAAATAAATAAATAAAATAAAAAAGAACATCTAAGATATATAAGTAAAAAAAGGTGCAAAAGTGATACATGAAGGTCTGTCCAGAAAAAGCTCAGCCACTGTTAACATAACAAGAACAGTTTGTGCAACATCAGTATAACCTGGGTGCCAAGGAGAGTGGACTGGAATGTGCGTGTGTGAACAGTGAACAATGACGACTTCACGGTACTAGTCAGTGGGGGTGGTAGACGCCACTGAGTGAGCATGTGTACTGTGTGACCATCACATTCAAAATGACCGGGTGAGAAGAGCAATGGATCTGCATCACATTTGGTGTTAAGCTTGAACATTGCTCCACGGAAACTATTCAGATGATTCAGAAGGCTGCGGCCATGGGCAGCTGGTGACTGGCAGCTTCACCACGACATGCCCATTCATGCATGACAACTCATGCAGTCTTTTGGAGACACATCAAATCCCCCAGGTGACTCAGCTCCATTCCATCCCAGATTTGGCACCCTGTGACTTCTGGCTTTTCCCCAAACTAAAATCACCTTTGAAAGGGAAGAGATTTCAGACCATTGATAAGATTCAGGAAAATGCAACAGGGCAGCTTGTGGCGACTGGGAGAACTATGCGAGGTCCCGAGGTTCCTACTTAAAGGGAACTGAGGCATCACTGTCCTATGTACAATGTTTCTTCTACCTTGTATCTTCTTCAATAAATGTCTCTATTTTTCACAGTACATGGCTGGATACATTCTGGACAGACATTGATTTTTTTTTTTTTTAAAGGATATGTCAACATTTGTAAATGTATAGAATACTCTGGGCAAATGCTCAAGAAAGTGACATTCAGGGTTGCCCCTAGAGAGGGAAACTGGGGACCGATGGGGGGCGTAGACCCTTTTTCTACCTGATTTTGACTTTTTTACTATGTGTATATCTTACCTATTTGACAAAATTAAAAGAGAAATTTCACCGGTAATAAAACAGTGAATTGGTAGCTGACCCAACTGCACTTCACACAAGTCCGTTAGCGCACTGGCTCGTCAACACCGTCCAGGCCCAGGGGGCATGTGACCCAGTCCTGGTGCAGGATCCTGCACCTCAACGCTCCCACTTCACCTGTGAAACCCCCATGACACACCGGGAAAATGTGCCGTGGTGGATGATAACCTCGGAGGCCGGTAATGGAAAAGCAAGTACTTTCATTCAATTCTTTTACTCTCAATGTTTGCTTCCTGTGTTACTATAAAAATGACGAGCTAAGGGTTGTTTTACACCGGATAGATATGCTGAAATCACTTCTTATTGTGGAAACAAAAAAAATCAAGGTAATTTGCAAGGAAAGGGTTAAATTAAGATCTTCCTAATCAGAATGGGGGAAAGGTGGCCGGTCCTGACCGACTGAACACATTCCTCCCCAGTGTTCTGGGGCTCGCCTGAAGGAGAAGCTGATTATTAGAGTCTGAATTTGACTTCCATTTCAGTTTTCCACTTAGAGTCTGGTGCAGAGTCTTTATACACTGGTCTGGCAGATCTTGTCGGTGAGTGTCAGCTATTAAAAGTCAGGCAGACAAGATAATTCCATGCTCATCAGAGAGGGTTCAAACTACATGATCATTAAATAGTTCCATGACTTTCTATAGTACTGATGCTAAAGTTGTAACAAACTGTATTTCAATTAAAGAGCCGAGGTAATTGAGCAGAACCAACACAATGCTGATGAAGAGTTCTTTCAAAGAAGCTAATAAAATTTACAAATTCAGAGGCCCACAATTTAAACTGTAAAAAAAAAATCCTCCCATGTAGCGTAAAATACAGTCACAGTGGATGTTTCTCTAACATAAATTAGAGTAAAACCCTGAAAGTACTGGTCCCCCAATCCCACTCCCAATGACAAACTAAGTTACTAAAATTTAGGGAAATAAAACTATGTGTAAATACATTTTTATTAACTAAAACAATAAAAGTTTAGATGAGTAGCAGTTATAAAGCAAATCATAAAATTTCAGGTAAGAATAATAATTATTTC